TAGTAGTAGTAGTAGTAGTAGTAGTAATAATAATAATAATAATAATAATAATAATAATAATAATAATATCACTTCTAGTATTAGCAATCTTCATCATTTCAAGTTTGACCTTATTATGGTTGCATTAAAGGTTGAAGTGGCATGCTCATGAAGAAATATCAGAATTCACTGATTCTTGTAACTTTTCCAGAAATATGTATGACTCTAGAATCATATTTGTAAGATTATTCCTGGAAAAACTACATAGATAATCTTTCCCATGTTCATTTTCTCAGATCTATACACTTAGGTGCATCCTGTAAGCATCATTTTTAAGTCAGAATCAGTACTTTGCTTAACTTGACCCAGCATTTTTCACTGCTTTTTGCTTTACCATCTGATTAAAAGTTCAAGAAGGAGTCCAAAGGTATAAGGTTATCACAGTACAAGTATCTTATAACACCAGCATTTAAACTAATATTCCCCACAGTGGTTGTAATGGAAAACAGCAAGCAGTGTACAAAAATGAGTGGTTTTCTCATTTTGTTGTTGGTGCTCTTTATTACTTTTCTATACCATCCATAGCTGAAACTGTCTAGGTAGTTTACAACAGGGTGTAAATACAATAACATATAATAGATAAAAACAGTTAAGTATTTAAAATTAATTTAAAATAGCTTTAAAAAAGCTAAAAAAGACCCAGCCAAGAATAAAGGGACCTGGCTAATTGTGTCAGGCCCCTGAATGACCAGGGCATTTTTCAAGGCCTCCTCAAAGACCTGGCACCAAAAGGACAGCAAATCCAGACAGGCCACAGCGAGGAGGTAATTCCAGTGAAAAATCTCTCTTCCTAGTTGCCACCCTCCAAGCTTCTTGAGGAGTTGGCAGCCAGCGGAAGGCTGAGTGGAATTCCCTTAGAAGCACAGTCCATAGGAATCCCCTATGCTCTGCTGGGGTAAAGGAAGCAGCCAAGGCATCCCCCTTTGCTTCCCCATAATCCGATTTTATTATTTATTGGTTTGTTTATCTGGACAGGCTGTTAGTGAGAGTACTTTGGAGTAGATGGGAAAGAAGAAGTTGGAGGATCTTGGGGGTAAACTGGAAATACTCTCTCTGGGGTTGACTTTAGGGCCTTGGAAAAGGAGCTGGCATAGTTCTGTCTGCCAGCTGCAATGGGGCAAGTGAGAGGTGTTGGATCTTAGACTGCCCTTGTGATGTTGTACCTCAGAAGGGGTAATCTGAGCCATCCTATAATCCCTGGGATATTTGCCCACAGACAATAGAACAGCTCTCCCCAGGTCTCAACAAAACCACTCTCAGCAGCCATGATAATGGATACAGAATTGAAAGAGTAGGTGAAATAATAATTATATGGGCCAGTTGTTCTGGGAGAGAGTACTAAGCACAAAGAATTTCCCAGGAAAAGCGAAACTCTTTCTTGCAATACAGGTTATACTATTCTTGTGTTATAAAACCAATCACAATTTTTCATATATATTATCTGTCCTTTTACCAAGTAATTGGCTTTAAATAAAGTCAGTGCTGAATCTTCTTACTAGGAGGGCAATATCCTTGAAATACATGCTTATCTTTGTGCATTTTAAAACTGTTTATACCAAATTAATAAAACACTGTGTTTTCCTTCTAGTATCAGTCCTTCCCATACAATAAGAATGGATTCAAAGTTGGAATGAAACTAGAAGGAGTGGATCCTGAGCACCAGTCAATATATTGTGTGCTTACTGTAGCTGAGGTGAGTGTTAGAGTTGTAATGTAAAAAGGTTAATTTTAAGTTAATTAATTAATTAATTCAAATTGTAGTTGAAAGTAGTCCCATCAAACTACTAGGAGCCTGATGGTGGTTGTAGGAAATTATAGGTAACGTAAGAAGAGATCCATTGGATCAGATGAAAGGCCAACATACTATTTCCTGTAGTGGCCAATCAAATACCTATTGGAGGCCTGTGAGCCAGAGATGCCTACAATAGTCATCTTGGTATTCTTCCTGCTGTTCCCTAGCTACTGCTGTTTGGTGCCATGTTACCTCTTTTCTTGGAGAACCATATAGCCATCATTTGTTTATTGTACAAACTATATATACTGCTCTGTATATTTAAAAAAAGAATCATGAGCATTAAACAGTAAACCATAAATTTATCTAAATATAGAAAAAGAAAGACATTAAAATTGAGTTACACAATATAGCCAAAGCCAGTCATTCAAGGAACACTTATTTAAATAAAAATGTCTTTAGCAGATACCAAAAAGAAAAGCAATGTTTGCATGACTCTCATGACTAGGAGACACTGATATCTTCATTAATTTGTCTAATCCTGTTTTAAAATCATCTAAGTTGATGATTATCATGACTTTCTGTGGTAGAATATTCCATAGTTTAATTATACACTGTCTGTCTTGATTCTTCATTTGATAACCTTAGATACTAGTATTCTGAAACAGACAAAAAAGCCCTTTTCTGTAGATACCAGGATTCTGTGTACACAGTATATTTGCAGCAGATTTATTGAGCATGCACATGGCTTATAAATAAGGAGTTTATCCTAGATAAACCTTGATGCATTTGCTTTTAACCTTGGTGTCTCTTTTATCCTGTAATTTACATTCCTCTTTGGCTTCTGATCACTTTCCTTTTCTGGATAATATGTTATCACTATGCACTGTGTTTGAAGAGTCTTAATTCCAGTTGCATCTATGCTATAGAGTCAAAAAATGACTTTTTTGGCTTAACCGCAATGCACTTTTGCTAACTTCTGCACTTCTGATTATTGTGATTTTAGATTTGCGGCTATAGAATTAAACTTCACTTTGATGAATATCCCGATTGTTATGATTTTTGGCTGAATGCTGATTCTACAGATATTCACCCAGTTGGCTGGTGTGAGAAAACAGGTCACAAGCTTCATCCTCCAAAGGGTAAGTACCCTGTTACCTATTAAAGATTTGTAAAGTGTTAGGTAATTGTTTTTTGTTCAAGCAATGTAAAATAGGCAAAGTGATGTTTTTATGTTAAGACAATTTGCACATGAGAAGTAGAATTAGAATGTACTGGTTATGGAAAAGAAAATGTTTTTTCTATTCATGTTTTTTATAAAACAAGAACACAATTGAATTATGAAGCAGTTGAAATTCCAGCAAATAAAACCATTTGCTTCCTGTGACCAAAGATATTCTGTTTTGATCTGATGTATGGTAATGTGTGGCCATGCACACACAGAGTCACAAAATAGGGGCGCTTCCTCAATCCGTAGATTTGCATGTGCATTCAGTCTACCTAGCTTTGCAAGGTTTTCCTCCTATTTCCTCTTTTCCCACTAGCTGCACAAAGAAGCCAGGGTTGGGTGAGGGGGGCTAATAATATTTCACATTATGAATGTGGGCTTAAATGAATGGAATTGGGCCAGGCTTGTGTATGTGTTGTATCTGTATAAGATTGCTTTTAGCTGGTACACACATTTCATAACTGCATTTTTAACCTATTTGTAGTAGTGGCATCTACTTTGTAGAGGTGTTGTGCTGTTCAGTGTGGTTATGAAGACATTCTGCCTATTTTCTTATTCAAGAGTGCAATCCTGCACTCATTTTTGTACATATACAGTCAAGTACATACATATACACACATACTGGATTTGTGCAAGCTCATTCCTCAATACCCTTATAAGAGATTCTTTAAGATTGAAGGTTGTACACTGCTTAAAAACCTGATACCTCAAGGGTTAAGGGCATCTGAGGCCACATTAAAAATATTGAATCATTTTATTTAGGAAAGGAAAATTAGAAATATATGTTTAAAGGCATTTAAATTGAAAAGCAGTTTGACAATGTTGAAGTACAACAGGCATTTAAAATCAGTGATAGTAGTGAACACTTTGTTAGACAGAAAGATCGAAAATAATTTGTGTGAAGTAATGTGGGGAGTGGGGAGAAGAAGAAGGAGGCCAGGTTCAAGTGATCATGGAGGAGGAAATAAACTATGGTAGCTGTTGTGGTTCTGAAAGGATTTGTTAACCATGGCAACAAGCTAACATTGATGGGTTTGCTCAGCACAGCAAGCCATGCCAGAAAGGGTACTTATACAAACTGCCTTTGGCACACGTGATAGGAAAAATAAACCAGCGTGGACTAAATGTAATTAATACTTTTCTATCAACCTGGCTTAACACACTTTTAACATACTTTAAAAATATTGCAGGATAGATGGTTTCCTTAGTAGCTATTTTGAGGCAAAACCTACTTTTTCCCATGTAGGATCCAGTTAGGGGCCTAAGGGGTTTTCTTGACCTTCCAAGGAGGAGTTCAAACCTATCAGATAAGGAATGACCACCTGTCATGCAAACATCTCTCTCCTTGAACAAGTTTTACATGTCTTGTACTAACAGCATCTACTGCTTTTGCCAAGCCTCTTTCCAGGTACAGACTACAGCTTGAAAAGTAGGAAAATGAAGGGATAATTGCTAACAGTACACAACACTGACATCCAATCCAAAGTGCTTTGGATCCTGTGGGATGGTTGTGGGATAGTTCACATTAATCTTTAATAAACCTTCTACTTATGCAGTCCCCTTCTGCTTTAATTGGGTGCTTCAGCTTTTGTGGAAACCACAGCTTACAGTGAATCTATAAAAGACTACTTTGTATGGACCCTTCATTACCATCTACCATCTAAAGGATGCAACTTATTTCTTCTCCTTGAAAAGATGATAAATTTCAGACTTCGTAGCTTGATGGTTGCAAGAGCTGAACAGGGTTCATGCATATGCGTAATTTGCAGATACTGTCAATGTACTTCATCCCCTTTCTTGAGAATGGATAGTTGTGGTTCTTGAAGACAAGCAGAAGGCTTATTTTCAGTTTCTCTATCTCAGTAATGCTTTCAGGAGAAGTATTTGTAGTTGCTGCTTTTGCCTTTCAGCTTAGCTCAGAGCATACAATAATATTCCAAGTCACTATGTCTTTTAAAAAGTGACATTCCCTCCACTCCTCCAGTCTCTTCTGGGGATGGATGATTTGACAGATAGTGAAAATGAGCTGCGGTAATAATAGAGGGAACTTGCAGTGGACATAACTGCACTTTAAATTTAATTAATGTTTTATCTTTTTCATTCTTTTTCACGGTCTTCTTCAGGATATAAAGAAGATGAATTTAATTGGCCTGCATATCTGAAGAAATGTAAAGCTCAAGCTGCTCCTAAGTCCTTCTTTGAAAACCAAAACTCAGTAAGTTTTCTCAGATTATCCCTGCATCTCTGTGGACAGTAGCTTTTGGAGAATATGCTGACTTCCTTGGTCCTCCTAAAAATGCAGTGTGTTTCATCAATATAATACATCTTGATTTCTTCAGATTAAATCAAGGGAAAGAAGCTATTGAATCAAAGGTTGTTGACACATGTAAGCAAGCAGACAAGCCGCCATGACATGCCAGTTTATATGGAACACAGGATTAGTGTTTTCATGTATAGGTGGGAGGAGCCATCTAGTGACTAATGCTTTGCATGAGTTTGATACTGTTAGACTTCAAAGAAGACATAACTGTCATCTATAAGAGGCATATGCCTGCAAACCACAATGAACCCTGACAAAGATGTCACTGAACTTGTACTTCCAGGCTTAGGAATATAAATTTCAGAGGACCTCAAAAGGTTTACTTCAAAAAAGCATCTTCAAATGCTTCTTTGGCTCTAATTGTAATTCAAGCTGGGGAAGAATCATCTCTAGTCCCACCAAGCTTATGAGACACAAAACTCCCCCACTTTTCCTTAAACTCTTACAACTGGGTTGCTGTTGTCACTGGTAGTGGTGGTGCAGCAAGCCATTAAGAGAAAAGGGGGTATAAATTTTCCCTCTTTCACAATCCCTAGGAAGCATAGTCCTCTTCATGGTCACTGTGCATAACACATGAATTCTGTATCTAGAACATTGATTTGAAGATGCTTCTATAGCTGAGGAATTTAGTGGAAACTCTTCCCCACTGTCATAGTACGTACACATGTTCCTGGAGGATTCCTTCATTTTTCATCAGTTCCTCTTTAACCCCTGTTGTGCTTGGCTTACACAGAACTCTGATCCCTTTCTCTTTGAGGAGAAAGTTCTAGTATCTGTGAGGTACTAGTACCTTTTATTTTACTTTTTATTTAAATTGTTAATTTTTTGATGTGCTAGTTATATTGTACTTGTTAACAACTTGATCGATCTTTTAGACCACTCATTTGCTTTGTGAGGTTTATGTATTTGAAGGCCCCTTTTCAGAATTGCATATGCTGCAATAGCAGGTCTCCAAGTACAGACTGTCACTCACTCTGCCTTCTTTGTCTGCATGATGATTATCTTACCAAGTCCTGCCCACACTGCCAGACTTCTATCGAACAGGCCAAGTAGAATAGGTTGGACAGATTAAAGGCTCTTCTATGGAAAAGAACAGTTTGGAGGCAGCAGAACTCCCTTGTCCTACAGTGGAGTCACAGTGAACGTCGTCATCTCCATCTTCAGTGGTTGCCTGTAAAGAGGCCAGACCCCTTCTGCTTGCTTTCTAAACAGGGCAGGCTGAACCTTTTTGAAAGTCACCACAG